GATATATTGACATGTGTTTCAATAGGTAATGCATCTATTATTAAAAAATTAAAATAAACCATAAAGATGCCCGTGAAGGAATGTTTCTCCGACTTTAATACCCTTTGCCAGCTCCCAACCTCATAAAAGAAATGAACAATCATTAGTCTTTCCTACAACTCTCCGGTGTTTCTTCATGAAAAATGAGCAACTATGGATATTCATATGCTTCTTCTAGAACTCCTTACACATTGCTGGAGATACATCCTCATTTTGCGAAATAGTTCCACAGTATTTCATTGTTTATTTTATCTAACCAACCCCCTATTGAAGGGCTCTTTGTTCTCACAATCTTTTGCTATTACAAACAAAACTAAAATAGACAACCTAGAAATGGATTACTGAGTCACTGAACAGTGAAGATGCAGTTTGCACAAATATTGTTAGTTTCTTATCCAAACTGTACTGTTCATACATTCATAACCAATGTGTGAAAATGCCTGTTTCCTCACCAGCAAAGTATGTTTATAAATGTCTGGACCTTTGTCAATTTAAAAGTGAGAAAATTATCCTAATGTAGTTTAAAATTGTACATATCTCTACTGTTGAAGAACTGTGTTTCTTCTTTTAACTATTTTTGAACTCTTTACTTAGTGTGAGGTTAATCTGATGAGTATAAAATAAACTGAATGTAGATCATTGCAAAAAATTAGGAGAGAGAATAAGAGAGGAAGCAGGAGGAAGGGTGGGAGTGTGGGTGAGAGGGTAGTGTAGGAAGTATCACTATGTTCCTAAATCTGTACACATGAAATACAAAAAATTTGTTCAGCTTCAATAAAATATTTTAAAAAATCAATAAAATTATGCATATCTTATAATAGCTAGCTCTAGCTAAATATCTTTTCACATGTTTAAGTGCTCCTCCTATTTTATAAACGCCTGTTTTTGAGCCTATTTTCCCCATTGCAAATTAACCATCCTTTTTTTTTAAAAAAAATCTTTATTTTTTATTTATTTGAAAGACATAGTTACAGACACAGAGAGGGACAGAGAGATGTTCCATTGGCTGGTTACTCCCTAAATGGCCACAAGTTTGGGGCTCAGCCAAGCTGAAGCCAGAACAAGGAGCTTTTTCTAGGCCTCTCACTTGAGTGCAAGGAGCCCAGGAATTTGGGCCATACTCCATTGCTTTCCAAGGCACATTAGCAGGGAGTTGGATCAGAAAGGAAGCAGCTGGAACTCAAACTGGTGCCCATATGTAATGCCAGTATTGCAGATGGTGACAACCCACTACATCACAACACCAGCCCCAAATTAAGCATCTTGAGGAGACTACATTTTATCCATTTCAAACCAGCCCTAGTATGAAGTAAAGGAAATAGAAAGTGTTCCATTAATATACTTGATGAATTGGTAACGAACTCACTGAGATTTCTTTTCACATTATTTGAGTTGCATTTTGTATCGGCCTTTCTAACTTTTTTTCTTGGAAAATAGTATTACTATTGATGGGCATTTAGGTTGATTCCATGTCTTAGCTATTGTGAATTGAGCTGCAATAAACATTGAGGTGCAGACAGCTCTTTTATTTGCCAATTTAATTTCCTTTGGGTAAATTCCAAGGAGGAGGATGGCTGGGTCCTGTAGTAGGGCTATATTCAGGTTTCTGAGGAATCTCCAAACTGTCTTCCATAGTGGCTTTACCAGTTTGCATTCCCACCAACAGTGGGTTAGTGTGCCTTTTCCCCCACATCCTGGCCAGCCAGGAGTCACTGTGCACTTACTCCCCATGTAGGATCTCTGTTTTTAATGCATTATACTATGCAAATTAACAGTAAAATTAGTATTCAAACAATATTTTATACTTTGTGTATCTGTGTGGGTCCAAACTGTTGAAATCTTTATTTAGTACATACTAAGTTGATCTTCTGTATATAAAGATAGCTAAAAATGAATCTTAGGCTGGCGCCGCGGCACACTAGGCTAATCCTCCACCTTTCGGCGCCGGCACACAGGGTTCTAGTCCCGGTCGGGGCGCCGGATTCTGTCCCGGTTGCCCCTCTTCCAGGCCGGCTCTCTGCTGTGGCCAGGGAGTGCAGTGGAGGATGGTCTAAGTGCTTGGGCCCTGTACCCCATGGGAGACCAGGAGAAGCACCTGGCTCCTGCCATCGGATCAGCGCGGTGCACTGGCCACAGCGCGCCAGCCGCGGCGGCCATTGGAGGGTGAACCAACGGCAAAGGAAGACCTTTCTCTCTGTCTCTCTCTCTCACTGTCCACTCTGCCTGTCAAAAATAAATAAAAAAAAATGAATCTTAATGAGGTGTGGGATGGGAGAGGGAGTGGGAGATGGAATGGTTGTGGGTAGGAGGGAGGTTAGGGGAGGAAAAATGCTGTAATCCAAAAGTTGTAATTTCAAAATTTATATTTATTAAATAAAAGTTAAAAAAAGTAAACAATATTACTAATAAGTATCTCAAATGCAGATGTTGTAGGGCAGTGGACTGGGCCACCTGATTGCATCCCACATTGGAGTACAGGTTCAAGTCTTAGGTACTCTGCTTCAGATCCAGTTTCCTGATAATGAACCCTGGGAGACAACAGATGATAGTTCTGGTCATCGGTCTGCTGCCAACCACGGGAGAGACCTGGATGGGTTTCTGGGCTTCTGACTTAGGCCTGGACTGAGGAATAATTCAGTTAAGACAATATTTATAAATATTTTGTACATTCCAAATAATATAGTATCCATAATGTTTTTAAAGATATACTTCCACCTATGAGAGAAAACATTTGGCATTTATCTTCTGTGTCTCCTATTTCACTTAGCATAATCTCCAATTCCTTCAGTTTTGTTGCAAATGACAGGGCTTACTTCTTTCTAATCTTGTAAATGTATTTGTTTTCATTTTACTTGAAAGACAGATACACACACACACAGGGCGGGGCAGGAAGAGAGAGAGAGAGGCAGAGAGAGAGAAAGAGCTTTCATCCAGTCATTGATGTTTAGAATGTCTACAGAGCTAGGGCTATGCCCCACAGAAGCTAGGAACTGACATTCAGTCTTGGGCTCTAATATGGGTGGCAGGGACCCAACTACTTGAGCCATCACTTATCGCCTTCAAAGGTGACTATTAGCAGGAAACTGAAATTGAAAATGGGAAGGTCAGGACTTGATAGGATACAGTCATCCCAAGAGGCATCCTAACCACTGCACCAAAAGCATATCCCAGGATTTCATTTCTTATGGCTGCAAATGGCATTTCATCAAACTAAGAAGCTTCTACACAACAAATACTTTTTTTCAAATATTGGCAGCCCTATTATGAAATGACAATCAAAATCATGCATTCTTCACTTAACATTGTAACATTCTCTTTTTGTAAATTTTTTTCTTTTAATTAATTAATTTGAAAGGCAGAGTTACAGAGAAAGAGGAGAGAGAGAGAGAGAGAGAGAGAGATCTTCCATCCGCTGGTTTGCTGGTTCACTTCCCAAATGGCCTAAACTGCCAGGGCTTGGCCAGGCCAAAGCTAGGAGCCAAGAGCTTTGTCCAGGTCTCCCAAGTAGGTGCAGGGGCCCAAGCACTTGCACCATCCTCTGCTGCTCTAGGTACATTAGCAGGGGGCTGGATTGGAAATGGAGCAGCCGGGACTTGAACCACACTCATATGGGATGCAGGCATCACAGGCAGTGGCCCTACCTGCTATGCACAGCACTGGCCCCAGTACTGTAACATTCTCAGTTCTCTCTTTTACTTCATAATGAATTTCTTGATAGAGGCATTGAGTTATTTGTTGGTTTGTTTTTGCTGTTGCCTGTTATTTTGTTTTGCTTTGAGAAAAGTTATTTGAGATATACAGCTGGTGTGCTTCTCCTCCCTGTGCTCCACTCCCTGCTGCTGAGAGACCCTGACTGGGAGACAGTCACACTGAGCAACTCCAGGGAGCTCACATCTAGGAATCCCTGGGAGGCCAGCATTTCCAAGGAACATGAGTATAAGTAGCAGAGTGCCTTTGGGTAGAGAGGATGTCAAAGATGCTGTTTCTAGTTTTAATGTCATCAAAACAGGCAGGTAAGCAGGCGGGGGTGAGGAGACTGAGCAGAAAGGAAAGTCACTGAAAACAGGCCTATACGACGGCTTAGACCTTTCCTGCGTGGACCCTCCGAGGGTGTGGGAAGACAACTCAAGGTGCATCTTCCAAAATCCATGAGCTGTTTTCAAAAACTTAAGAGCAGCATAAATTATCTATGTTTCAACATGCTTAGAAAACAGTTTTATTTTAAAGAGGCAAGACTAAAGGGACTCCTCTTCCGAGTGTGAATTGCTGGTTAATAGTGAGCAAGTTCACAGAGCCAGATGCGTGACTTCAGAGAAAGCTTCTTCTTGGGGATTCTGACCTCATGGTTTTCTTTTTTGAGAATTCCTGGCATACGTCTCCTTTGAGGGACCATTTTCTGATACATGCAGCCATCAGACACCACAAACCTAAGATTTTAGGAACTACTCTGAATTGCTTATTACTCATTTTTCCCCTCTTCATCATTTAGTCCTACCAGAATATGGTATAAGCTCCACAATGTCTTTCTGAAAGAAATCTAAAAGTCAATTTACATTACTTGTCTCCCTCCTATACTGACAAATATTGCTAATTATTTAATCATCGGAATCTACAGGAGGGTAGCAGTTTTCTGTCTCTTGTGTTGTTTGATAGAGAAGGAGTGGAGAAATTCAGCTGCCCAAGTCAACGTACCCCAACATTATACTACAGAAAAGTATTTCATTGGGTTCAGGTGCTTTGGCTTCTAGTTTATGCCCTAATACTCACAGACTCTATGATATGAAGCCACGATTTTCTGCTTTTTGTGCTATGGTTACTCTGTTACAAAGTGAGAGACTTTGATTAGTTAATGTCCAGGTTTCTTTCAGGTGCCCCATTTGATGTCCTAGGCACTACAGTGCTTTCTGAATCAAGGAAGTAGCTTGAAGTAGTTCATCTTCTGTTTTATTCTGTGTTCCTAGGAGCCATGGATCCTGTCAACCACACCTGGACCCAGAGTTTCATCCTTGCTGGTTTCACTATCACTGGGACCCTACGACCTCTTGTTTTCTTGGGGACCCTGTGCATCTATCTCCTCACCATTGCTGGGAACTTGTTCATCATTGTCCTGGTCAGAGCAGACTCTGGACTGTCCACACCCATGTACTTCTTCATCAGCGTCCTCTCTTTCCTGGAACTCTGGTATGTCAGCACCACAGTGCCCACACTGCTCCATACCCTGCTCCACGGGTGCTCACCGATCTCGTCGGCCGCATGCTTTATCCAGCTGTATGTCTTCCATTCCTTGGGCATGACTGAGTGCTACCTGTTGGGTGTCATGGCGCTGGACCGCTACCTTGCCATTTGCCACCCACTCCGCTACCCAGCACTGATGAGCAGACAGGTACAGCTTTGGCTAGCTTTGGCCAGTTGGGCGGCTGGCTTCTCAGCTGCCCTTGTGCCAGCCAGCCTCACAGCCACTTTGCCTTTCTGCTTGAAAGTGGTGGTCCATTACTTTTGTGACCTGGCACCACTAATGCAGCTGGCATGTATGGACACAAGCTGGCATGCTCGAGTCCATGGGGCAGTGATTGGTGTAGCTACTGGTTGCAATTTTGTGCTGATTTTGGGACTCTATGGGGGCATTCTGAAAGCTGTTCTGAAACTGCCCTCAGCTGCTAGCCGCACCAAAGCCTTCTCTACCTGTTCCTCCCATATGACTGTAGTGGTACTTTTCTATGGTTCTGCTTTCACCGTGTATGTAGGTTCACCTGGGAGTCGAGCTGAAGGAACTGACAAGCTTATTGCCTTGGTGTATGCCCTTCTTACTCCTTTCCTCAATCCCATCATCTATTCTCTTCGCAACAAGGAGGTGAAAGAGGCTGTGAGGAGAACTACTAACAGAATCAGGACTATTTTGAGAGAAACCTGATGGTTTCTACTTCTCATAATCTGATAATCTGATTGATTTGCCAATCATATGACCAGAGTCTAAGTAAACATCAATAGGGGTGGACATTTGGTTAAGAGGTTAAGATACCTGATTCCCACATCAGAGTGCCTGAGTTCAGTTCCTGGATCTGCTTTCAACTTTCTGCTAATGGAGATTTGGAGGGCAAATGGTAATGGCTGAAGTGGTTGGGGCCCCTCCACTTACGCGGGTGATCTGGATGGAGTTCATGGTTCCTGACTGTTATAGGCATTTGGAAAGTGAATCAATACATGTGTGTGTGTGTGTGTGTGTGTGTGTCTCAAATAAATTACAAAAAATTTTAAAAAGAAAACCCAATTAAAAGAAAACAGTAAGATCATTAGTGAAACATGTTGCAAACACCCACTGTTGCATTGTTTAGAATTAGAACATAGAGAAAAGAGAGTTATGATCTCTGATCCCATCAAAAATGGGGGAGAAGGGTCACAAAGAAGGAAAAACATCAGAATCACAAACAAGTACTGAATTCATGACTTAGGCAGTGAAAAACAAGAAGATAAACTGAAACAAGGAGTGGCAGTAATTTTCAACAAGATAGAGTTCTTTCAGAATAGTTAAGAGGGTAGGAAACAAGGTTGGAAAAAGGGAAAAATATAGCTTAAAGTTTCAAATGCTAAGCAGTAAACCTTGGGCAAAAAGCTTATCAGCGGGTAGAATACAGTGATCCTGGGTTATGCCACCAACAGTAGCTTCCTGGAGGAAAGGACTATGAAAGCAGATAGCAGGAAACTAGAAATGATAATTTACTCTGTTGGGGGCAGAAGTAAGTTAGTGGAGATTGAGGGTGTTGTTGGAGTTCTTTTCTAATATTATGGAAGATACCTTAAGTACAACATGGAGCAATATTAAGAATTAAGAATAAACACTATTAAGAATAAACACTATGCGGCCGGCGCCACGGCTCACTAGGCTAATCCTCCACCTTGCGGCGCCGGCACACCGGGTTCTAGTCCTGGTTGGGGCGCCGGATTCTGTCCCGGTGGCCCCTCTTCCAGGCCAGCTCTCTGCTGTGGCCAGGGAGTGCAGTGGAGGATGGCCCAAGTTCTTGGGCCCTGCACCCCATGGGAGACCAGGAGAAGCACCTGGCTCCTGCCATCAGATCAGCATGGTGCGCTGGCCACAACGACCATTGGAGGGTGAACCAACGGCAAAGGAAGACCTTTTTCTCTGTCTCTCTCTCTCACTGTCCACTCTGTCTGTCAAAATAAAAAAAAGAATAAACACTATGCAAACTGTTGAAATCTTTACTTAGTATGTACTAAATTGATGATCTTCATATAAAGATAATTGAATGAGTCTTGATGTGAATGGGATGGGAGAGGGAGCAGGAGATGGGATGGTTGCAGGTGAGAGGGAGGTTATGGGGGAAAAAGCCACTGTAATCTAAAAGCTGTACTTTGGAAATTTATATTTATTAAATAAAAGTTAAAAAAAGAATAAACCTTAAAACTTTTACAAGTCTTCTCCATAGAGCACACATAAGACATTGGCCTAGAAGATGGAGATAGGAACACAAAGTTCCAATGATGTCTTTTTTTTTTTTTTAATTTTTTGACAGGCAGAGTGGACAGTGAGAGAGAGAGAGACAGAGAAAGGTCTTCCTTTGCCGTTGGTTCACCCTCCAATGGCCGCCGTGGCTGGCACACTGCAGCCGGCGATGGCAGGAGCCAGGTATTTTCCTGGTCTCCCATGGGGTGCAGGAGCCCAAGTACTTGAGCCATCCTCCACTGCACTCCCGGGCCACAGCAGAGAGCTGGCCTGTAAGAGGGGCAACCGGGACAGAATCCGGCGCCCCGACCGGGACTAGAACCTGGTGTGCCAGCACCACCAGGCAGAGGATTAGCCTAGTGAGCCACGTCGCCGGCCCCCAATGATGTCTTTTTTTTTTTTAACTTTTATTTAATGAATATAGATTTCCAAAGTACAGCTTATGGACTACATTGGCATCCCCCTCCCCCCGATGACTTCCCTCCCACCCGCAACCCTCCCCTTTCCCGCTCTCTCTCCCCTTCCATTCATATCAAGATTCATTTTCAATTTTCTATATATACATATCAGTTTAGTATACATTAAGTAAAGATTTCAGCAGTTTGCACCCCCACAGAAACACAAAGTGAAATATACTGTTTGAGTACTGGTTATAGCATTACCAATGATGTCTTATGTTACGTCTCTTCTCTTACACTTTTCCCACTGAGCAGAATTTGAAAGTTATTTAGTAAAGTCAATCTCAATACTTTTATTATTTGTAAATTTAAGGCCTAAATCTGCTAAATAATGGTCACATAATTACAAGAGAAAGAGTATGGAAAGGACCCATAAGAGAAGGAAATAGACAGTGGAGATAGGGGGCTGGAGTTGTAATCCTGCCTTATATCACATCTCTTCTCCCACATCTTCTCCACCTGTTCCTTTATGAACACAGTTTGAACGTTATTGAGTAAGTTAAATCTCAATAATGAAGTTATTTATGAAATTAGAACCTAGTACTGGTAAAGAATGTTACATAATTGTGAAAGATAGGACCAAAACCTTGGCACAGACTAGGCACTGTCTGGCTCTTGCACACCCTCCATTTTTCTCATCTCATATATCTTTTTTTTTAAACTTTTATTTAATGAATATAAATTTCCAAAGTACAGCTTATGGATTACAATGGCTTCCCCCCCATAACGTCCCTCCCACCCGCAACCCTCCCCTTTCCCACTCCCTCTCCCCTTCCATTCACATCAAGATTCATCATCTCATATATCTTACTGCTAACAAAAAATCAAATCAATAATATTTTTGTCTGTTCTATGCCATAAACAGTAATGGTTGTTTCAAATGTTTTTTTAACTAACTCTTTATAATATCCCTCTGAAGAAGGAAGAATCATCCCAATATTTACCTGGTTAACAATTAGAAACATTACTGGAATTGCAGTGAAGAAGCACAGATTCAACCCTAGGTCCACACCAGCTGTCTGGGTGGCCATGGTAATACTTTCTCATCTTCATTCACTCAGTTTGCAAATTGAGTGTCTGGCAGCACATGCCTGCTCACATTTCTTTAAAATTAGGGAGGTTTGATTCCATGACTGAAACACTTGGTAAAGAAAGTAGGGCCTGAGTGAGATCTGAGTATCTAGAACAGAATAGGAAAGGCATTGGCCCAAATTCAAGTGTTTCTATTTCTTTTCTACATGAACATGGGTAGAAGAAATAATCTCTTTCTGACTTCAGTTTTGCTTTATTAAAAGCATCTATAACAACTATTCTAAGGACTTAAGAAATAAGACATATTAAGTATTAAATAAATAAATCTGCCTTACCATCCCAGAGACAAGACCATGCAATGGTTAAAGAATGAACTTTAAGTCTTTTTGTCTAGTTTCAAGCATTGATGCTGTCATTTATTTTCAGTGTGACTTTAGGAATATATTTAACTTCCTGGTACCTCAGTTTCCTTATCTGTAAAATGGGGAAGACAATAGAAGCTTTAGCACTATAAAAATATGAATCATTATTAATTCAAAGTTTTGTTACATGTGTTTCTGCAGGGAGGGATTTATTTCCTTAAGAATTCTTAGTTTTATTTATATGTCACATTTTTATTATGTATACAAGGCCAATAGAGTTGGTAACACTCCACATGAAGTAAGTCATTTTGACCTAAGATTCCAAGGTCATTTGTGCATAACCTGAGGTTTACTCCCTGCTTTCAGAAAGTCTATATTGTTTCCCTAAATGCCAGGTGCAATACTCCATTCTGCTGACCTGATAGATCTATTGCTTTTGGGCTCATATTCTTTTACTTCTGTACCTCACTTCCCTTAGACTATCCCTCCCATTTTTAAATTACAGGCAAAACAGAAACTCCATTGTTTCCAAGAAACTGCTCATCTTTGCAATATTTTGAGTAACATTGATTAATAGCTCTGTGGTTCCCATTTCAGTGGATCTATACTGTGCACTGAGTGTTAGAGACTTAGAATCCTAATGTGAACACAGTTAGTCATTTAAAAAAGCTTAAGGTGGCACATACATTGCCCTTCATTTCTAGGACAGTGCTCATTATCCCTTAATACTTGAACAAATGAATGCATGAATGAATGAGCAACTCTTGAGAGTCAATGAGTGTGATAAAATTAGGTGTCCCTCCCACATCTCCACTGTGAGTTATTCCCTTTTTCAGATTCAGTAACCCCCAAATCCTTCCCTTTCTTTTT